AAAAGCTAGAGACACCAAATTTACAGGGTGTCTTGACCTGTACGTGAACTCACTTAGGTTAAGGTTTCAGCTTCCTAGGTCATGACCTTCAGGTCAAATAAGGTCAGGCAAGGTCAAATTCCAGATTGGTCTCCAAAGCGCTCCCAGAACCGAGGCAACTGTCTCTAAGCAAAAGGTCACAAGCCCATTTGAGGTCATTGACCTTTTTCGACCCTTTGAAGGTCATGCTGACCAAAATGATACAAGACTGAGTTTACTCTGAGTTTTGTATTTGAATAAGCGGCAAAGATCACGTTAGGCAGCATGTTCCTAAAACAAAAAGTTCGACCTGGGTTATCTTAGATCAATGGCCTGTTCTGACCTCCAATAAGTCAACTGAAGATGTATGATGCGGTCCCAGCTGTTTATAAATTCGAAATGAGCACCAGAAGCTATCCCGTATAGCAAACCCTAGAGCAATAAATGAGGCTGGTTTTGACCTTGGTCTGACTTTCATACCTGACCTTAGATCAACGTTATGTGCTCATTCAATATTTGTGGTGCCTAAGAAAGCATCTCAGAGATGTATGTCTTCGTAAAACACTCCGTTGTTGTGTCAGATTGAACGATTCCCCAGAAATTGCCTTCGCTGAAACCATGGGCTGACTTTGACCTGTCATAGGTCAGCGACCTGACAAGGTACATCTAAAATTTGCTTGTCAAACGATCTGCTATGCAATTTTCTACAGCTATGGAAAATTTGACGCGGCTACGCCTCGCCGTTCAGAAACCATTCGGGAAAAGTCTTCGGGGGGGGGGAGTAATTTCCCCCACCCCTTCCCGAGCGCGTGTTAATGTATTCTGTTTCACTTAAATGGGCTATGATGTTAAAAAAACGAAATTGTTTTGTCATGTTCCTGATATTACGTCCATGCCAACTTGATATAGATGTCTTTGTTTGCTGAAGCATCAGTCACGAGCTCGTAAGTTCCATCTTTTATAAATTGATTTTTTTCACTCCCGCACGGTCCTTTGCGATGGAATTTTTCATTCCCACCCTAGTTCAAAAGCGATTCTAGCTCCCTGGACCGGTGTTACGTTGCGGGACACCGCAGAGTTTTGTCCCAAGGCGGAGACGTGTGAAGATGGAGTCTCATTGACTGGGAGCCGTACTTGCGGCCCCCCGCCGCGGCCTTCTGCTGGTCTGTGACTGGGGAGGGCCGCGTGCCGCCGGCCGCGCGCTCAGCCCATCCACAGCACTAGTCAGGCTTTCGTCAGACCGGGGGAGCCACCGCCACATCCGCCGGCACCCGATCCACTCCTGGGGCATGCTCTCTTTCGTGTCGCTACGAGGCATGGTCTCTTATGTATAAAAGGTACAGCCGAAAATTTTCGGGAAATTTTCACCTATCACCTAGCATAATGGGGTCTGTTGTTGATCTGGCAACATTAAGTTATTCCCAATCGCAAGCTCCCGTTGAAGCTAACTTTCCGCTAAGCTCTATCTTTCGTAGTTTGGTTGGGCGCAATGGCCATTGCAGTCGACGCACCCGAAAACTCCAATAAACAGCAACTTCCTTAGCTTGGAAATGGCAGGGGCTGCATCGCCCCCCCCCCCCCCCCAACAGTACGCGTCATGAAAAGCGACAAATCAGGACGAGGGATGAAGCCGGTGGCAACCAAACCTGCTCGGCTCCAGGTGGATACTCATAAATCCAGGCGGGGCCCGGTAGGTACGTGATATCAGGCAAAGATGTGTTTTTAGTGCAGTTGCTGATCCCATCACGAATAGTAGTGTCCTACTGCGGTCCTCAGCAAAAAGAAGGACTTCACCGACGCGATGCATCATGTTCTGAGCAGACCCGTACTTTGGTCAGTCCTACGTGAATTCAATCGGTTCGGTTCGGTTCGGTTTAGTCCCGGTATAAAAACGAGCCTCGCGAGGAATTCGGGCAAGACGTTCCTTTCAAAAATGTGATTACAATGAACCTTTCACACGCATAAAGCTGTTTTGTTGATAGCACTCTTTTTTCGATCTGTCTGTCGGTCGATAAGGCATATGCTAACTCCGAAATAAACGTCCATCCCATTGGCTCGAAATATCTGCTAGGCTGAAGTTACAGATAACTAAGACATGACTAAGAAGCCAATTTCGGTTAAACTTAGCTGCATCACTCTTTCAAATGCGTCTCAGCACAACTGTAGGGAGGTTGAAAGTGCCTGTGATGTTGCTCTGACTAGATCTTGAATTTAACGAAGGGCTCGCTGGCTCGGAGCCATATTCAACAATTACATGTCTCTACTTCAGCCATTTTAGACTGGTTCGACCCGACGTGGGTAGTGAAAAGAGAACTTGCATCGCTGCTGGTTGTGTTTCTAAGGCCGGGTCTGATTTGGTAGTGCATAGGTACATTATGTGCATCGCTGCTAGTTGTGTTCTAAGGCCGAGTCAGATTTGATAGTGCATAGGTACATTATGTGCATCGATGCTGGTTGTGTTCTAAGGCCGAGTAAGATTTGATAGTGCGTAGGTACATTATGTGCATCGATGCTGGTTATGTTCTAAGGCAGAGTCAGATTTGATAGTGCATAGGTGCATTATGTTACAAACCAAGTCATTCCGGTCAGACTGGAGTGCCCAAGTTTTGCTTGATTTTTTGGTGGCGTGGGTAGCGGGAAGTGGATGTAGATGTATTAACAAGTGCGACGGTTATTGATATTTAGTATTGGTCGGGACTTCAGAGTGGATGCAAGTTGTTTGCACTAGCGTTTTTATGGTCCTCAATGATTCCTTGCTTCTGATTTTGTTCGTTCCTACATATTCATCACGCATGGGCTGGTGGTCAGCAATACCCTCCCCTGTCCAAGGCGGCGCATAGAACCGTGCAATTTGTCCTCGTCTTGGTATGTGGGTTGATGCGCCCTAGTGTTTCTGGCTTTTGGGCAGCGACGTCTGTTGAGGGGCGCTGCACGACCTCCGCTGCCGGCGCTGAGAGTGGGCGGTAGCTGACCACTCCGCCGATCGCGGGTGGTGAGGTGACACGGTTACAGAGTGGTGCTGCGTGAATTAACGTAGCCCTCAACTCTTATACACGCACGGAACACATTAACCACATTTTATGCTCAAAATTAACTAACGAACACGCGTGTGTATTTTTCATGTTGCTACGTTGTGTGGTTTTGTATATATTCGCATGTAAAACTGAAAAAGTACGATGCGTTCAGGGATTATGGAATGTTGACCCGGTATAAGTGCGGTCAGTTATTGACAGTAGAATCAGACGTATAACCAATTGCGAGATTTCGTTCATGACAACCCACTGTTTTGCTTTCCGAGAAGCTCTATCATTCTTGGTTCGGAATCCGCAGGGTGTCTCATCGTTCCTGCCACCCTATCCGTTCGCATTTTGGGGAACTTCGAATCCGGGCGTGGTTTAATGCTTGTAGGAATTTGGCCAGATAGCCTGGCCAGAAAGAGCTCCCCGCTGGAACTTTTGCAAATGAAACTAAGGAAGCAACGAAAGCGGCAAGTGCAAGATGATAAAATTAGCATCGTAAATTACTGCGGTCAGAAGTAATGATTAACAAATTATGCAAACAAAGTATTATGCTAGGAGTTCACGAAAAGTAGTGGTTGCGAAACATCACGACTGACGGGCCGTTAATACAGCAGCATTCAAGTGGCACAAATCAAGGCTTGGCTCGGCTTATACGCCGCGTTAGGGGATGAAGTAAGCTGGTCAAATCGTAGAGCATGCTGAGACGCTGGCCATCAATGGCCTAAGCCAGCTGGTTGGCAGCAGGTTGATTGATGTTATCAATACTGATTTGTACTGAGGATTTTCCGGGCTTGATCCGGTGCAAACCAGTCGGCACCGTCAGCTTTTGGGCGGCCGAGAGAGCTCATCGTTGGTGGTTCCCCAGTGATATTGCACGGCGCGTATTGCCTGGAGCCATCAGCTGGGAAGAAGTACGAAAAACAAGCCAGTTGACCGTGCTATATATGACAGAGAAGGCCTGAGTGGTGACACGACCGTGCGGTACCAGAAGTGTATTGGTTGGGCTGTGCGTCTGGGAGACCGGAAGTTTGATTCGGAGAGTTCGATTCCCCGCGGTGCCCGCCCTTCCTGCCAGGGTGAGAGGCTGGGGTTGTCAGAGCGCTGGGCCTCAGCCTAGACGCCTCAGTACTTGAAGGCGTCATAAAGCTCCAATGGCGCGATGGGATGGGATGGGATGAACGGCGGCAGGTAGAAGTTTGTCGGGGTTCGAGCCTGGGGCCCGACAAGCTCATCTCTCCCCAGATGTGTATCCCAATGACTTTTGCCCTTTGGTTTTGGCGGATGGCCTTTTTAAAAATTTCGGATCATATACCGAATAGCCATTTATTTTAGCAGCATTGGTTATCAACTGATATCCAGCTAGGGTAAGCTTTGTGTGATATCCAACTCTGTGGTCATTTTTCCTACACTCTAGCACAGAGAGTGGAAAGACCCAAAGCAGCATGGTGGACGGGGGGGGGGGGAGCGAAATCAACATTGTGGACCATGGGACATAGGGGGGCATTGGTCATGGGACAATCGGGGGCATTCCATCAGAGGAAAATGCAAATAGACATTCCTGGCGCCAGGTGATGCTAATTTTACCAGGTTGTGATAACAGAGGTGTTAATCACACCATTCATTAGTAGTGTTCCGTGCGTGAATGCATTTTTAGGGACTTAAAACTTACAGCTCATTGGGCGTGTGAAGTGCATTTTGTTACATGCGGCATGCATCTGCATGCCATGATGGGGACCGGCTCCGGGGCTGGGGATCCCCGCGATGCGTCACCGATCGCGGCCGGCCCTGGCCCTGTTGTTGGCGGGTGCTATCCGCGCCTCGGGCGGCCGCCGCGTCCCCGCTGGTGTCCCGCCGCCGGGACTTCCAGCGGCATGCGTCAGCCGCACGCTCCCTCTGTGAAGTCCCGCCCCCCGCGCCGCCACGCTATATCGGCCAGCGGCGGCGGCGGCCGCGCATTGGGCCGGCAGTACTCGAGCGGCGGGCGCGAGCGGCGGCACGCGGGAGACAGAGTGGTGACGGGCAGAGCGAGCAGAGCGTGCGGACGGCGGCCGACCGGTGACAGGTGGGTGCGGGGGAGAGCGGCGGCTGGTGGGAAGTGACTCGCTCCCCAGGACCAGGCGGCGTCGGCGTTCAGAGAAACTAGCCGTGGGACCAGGTGGACGCCGTGTAAACGGAACGCGCTGAGAAAGGCGGCCACGGTCCAAGCCGCGGCTGTTGTTACTTATTCTGAAATAGCGGGACGCGCCGGCGTCGTGTGTAGATAGCTGGCGGCCGTGACGAACGGCTGATCCGGCTCGCAGAGCACGATACGTCGTGGGTTGTCCTGATCGCCTTGGCTCATTATGCACGCATTGCTCACACATTCCACAAAAATTACATCATCTTTGTTCGGTGCATGGCTGCCGTGTCGGATGTCTCGGCAGCACTCAGTTATACTTGCCTGCGCACGGTGAGGCTGCTGAGAGCGGACGCGTCGCCGTCACCCCGTCCTTCTCGCTGGCGGTCATCGCCCGGCGGCACTGTCGAGACGAGCTCCGTCACCGGACGTATCGGACCGCGTCCGGCGCTTGCGCGGTCAAGGTCACGCCGCCGCCTCCCGTGAAATGGCCGCCGGCCGGCCGGGGGCTCTCCGCGGGCTGCCGACTCGTCCTCGCCGGCTGCCGTCGGCCGCGCGCAGGCGGCGGCTCTGTCGAGCGTGATGTGCGTTAAGCCGCAGAAGCCACTGCGCGCGTGTGCGCGTGTGTTTGTACCGGCATGCATCGGGACGAGGACGCCCTCGGACCTCGTGTGCGAAGGTCTCAGGTGCGGACGGAACGCCGGGGCGCCGCCCGCCAGGGAGTGCCGTGGCCCGTTCGGGTGTGCCGGCGCTGCGGCGGCGGAGCGGGTGGCCCAGAGAGGACTAACGGCCCCGGCCGGCCGCGGCGCCCGGCAGCCCGCGCCCAGCTGCGGCACCGGCCGACGCGGTCGGGCTGCACCCGTTCGGGTCCGACCGGGCGGCTTTGGGCCGCCGCCACCGCCGCCGCCCCTGCTGACTCGGCAGGGCGGACGAGGCTTGGCTTTGAGCGCGTCTGTTTACGCGCGGCGTCCGCGCCGGTGTTTGCGGGAGACGGAGTAATCACTGCTGGGGGAGGTGGCACGGTGGCAGAATTGTGAACAGGGCTGGGTGAGTCAGGTGCGACGCGCCGCACGTCTCTGAGCTCAGCCCTGACGCCCGCCCCACGGCCGACGGCCCGTGCCCGCCGCGGCGCCTATCCTGCCGCTCGCCGTCGGTGGTCCGGGCCAGGCCAGTATTCCGGCCGCTCCAGTATCGACTGCGTGCGCCCGCCGGCCGCCGCGCCGCTGACCGCTCCTCGCCCCGTTCCAGGAAGTGCTCGACGAGTCGGACGGCTGCGGCGGCAAGTTCTCCGTGGTGGTCGTCTCCAAGCAGTTTGAGGGCAAGCCACTGCTGGCGCGCCACAGGTGAGAGCCGTGCCCGGCTGAGTGGCGGTGCGGCTGGCGCGGGCGGGGTGGCGCCGTCTCCGGGCCCCACAACGCTGGCCGACGCTGGCAAGCGCTCTGGCCGCTCATGCCTTGTAGGCTGCGCTGTCGTTTGAATGAGGCGATAACGCGACTTTGATCCGGGTTGAAGTTTGCACGGTGGGTGGAGGCCATTGGCATCCGATATTGTCCCAGAGGACTCGATGGACGTGTGATGTCGCCCGGCGATATGCTCCGCGCGCGACTGCAGGTGTTTACCCCGGCGCCGGCTGCGCTCAAGGTCAGCGGCAGCATTCCGGGGCGGGCTCGCGCGGCCCGGTCGTCAGCGCGCCGGGCCGGGGCCGAGCTCGCTGTGCGGTGTACCAAGCCGTCCCAGACCGGGGTCGTGACCCGTCGGGACCGGCGGGCATGAGGCCGGCCGCCTGGGCGCCCGGTGGCTGCTGTCCCCAGCCGCGCGGTCGGCCCGACTCCGTCCCACTGACTGACGCCCTCCCGACGCGGTGCTGCCGCGGTGTCACAGGAATGCGCATCTCAGCGGTCCCACACCTGAGGCGTGCAGTCGTGCTCGCGTGCGACGTCACTGGTAACTAACTCGGGACAGTTTGCCAATGACAAGCGTGTCTTCGACTGGGCAGCCGCCGTACACCGCCTGAGAGCGGCCTCCGCCCGCGGCCCGCCGCTGCCGACGTGCCGTGCGGCGCGCCCCGTGAGCACGGACCGTGTCCTCCGGACGATTTCGTCCCTCCAGCCGGCGCGCCGCGCCCGGTTCCGGGTTTGCGGACGTGTCGGTGCCGGCGCCGGGCTCCTGAGGCCGCCGGCTCCGCAGATAGCGTGCCGACACCGCCGGACGTCCGGACCGGAACTGGCGTCGCGACCGCACCAACGACGGCGCACGAGACGCGGCGCGCCGGCTCCTCTCGCGTCTGCTGTACGCTCGACGGAGGCGATCTGTCATTGCGTCATTCACTCGCTGTCGGCGTCTCGCCGGCGCGTCTCAAGCCGTCCGTCCGTCCATCCGTGTTGCGACGTCTCGTTTTGCCGTTGCTTTTTGTGTTGCGCCGCCGGCCCGGCGCCGGTGTCCGACGCGTCAGCCGCTGGGTCGTTGTCATGGGGAGGGGGCGTAGCACGTCGATACCGCGGCCCGGTGCCGGCGGTGGTCACGGACGACCGTGGCCGCCGGCGCCGGGCGGTGCCGTCGCCCCCGGGCCGGGCGGTCCCGGGGCGCCGGCGTACAGGGCGGCAGCGGGGCGGCGGCGGCGACTTTGATCGCACCAGCCGTGCTCGCAGCGAATGTTAATGGACGACGGCCGCTGGGCCCCGGCCAGACAGTCCCCGGAGGAGGCGGAGGTTGCAGCTGGTGACATCACGTTAGCGATGAGCTGTCAATCGAGCGGGCGCACTCGGTTGCCTGGCGCCATGACGTAATGGTAACGGTGCGCGGCTGACAGGTCGAAGCAGCTTGTCGGCGGTTTGAAGCGCCGCCGTTTGCGGCCTCGCCGCGGTGGAGCGGCGCTGCGCACCGTGGTCAGTTGCGTGAGAATCGCGCTCGTCGGCCGTGGGGATCACCGTAGGGGACGTACGGGCTGTCGTAGGTGGGGGGCGTCCGTGGTCAGAGGGGACCGTCTCTGCTGGCCGTGCCCGGTCTGTCGACATCGGCGGCGCGTGTCGCCCGTCCAGCTCTGGACGGCGTCGGAGTGTGGACTGGCGCGGTCATCGCCAGAGAAAGTGGCGTCGCCGACCGCGGCGACCGGGCCGCCGCCGCCGGCTGCGGGACGGCTGCGGGCAGCCGGTCCTCCCGCCCTGACCACGGCGGGGCTGGCGCGCGGCCGCCGCCGGCTGACCGTACAGTCTGTGCCTTGGGGGCGGCGTTTTGGGGAGGGATGGGAGGATCGGACCCGGTCGACGGGACCGTCTTGTCCATGACGATCCTTGTGTAAGGCTCCTGGCTGCAGCCACTGCGCTCTGCATGGCTATCTGTCAGGTGCTGCCGGTGAGAACGCGTCTCACGCATGACGCGCCATTCGCTGTCAAGCGCGGGAACGTCTTGGCTCAACCTAACCTTTGCCGAGTACGCACTCCGTGTACTGTGATTGTCTCAGGCTGGTAAGCAGCGCTGCGGTATGATGCATTCCCCTAATTAAACAATCGTCGACTCCTAAGGCGCGCCCACTGCGTATGTTCTCTCGCCGGCGGCGGCGCGTGACCCGGATTGGCCGGCCGCCCCATCCCTTTCTATCTGCCGCGTGAGTCGGCGGCGAGCCGGCGCATCCGGCCTTGCGCCGGCCGCTGTTGCCGTTCTCTCTCTCTCCCTCTCCCTCTCCCTCTCCCTCTCCCTCTCCCTTCGGCGGCCGTGCGCCGTCTGACGGCCCGGGGCTATAATTAGCCCTGGGAACGACGCTTACCGGCGTCGCCAGTGGCTGCTGTCTCCGCGCACTGGTGTGGAGCGGCACTTCACCTCCCCGCGTGAACACTTCACCCGGTGGTGTGAACGCTGCGGCACGTCACCCGGTGGTGACGCTGCCGGCTCCCCCGGTGGCTGGCGGCTGCCGTGCTCGTTTGTTCGAGAGCATTCGAGATGTATTCGTTTGAGAGGGAGATCAGCTAAGATGCAGCACCGTGCATGCCTTATAGGAGGCCTGTGTGTCCTGCCGAACGGCTCCTCTCTGCCGCTGCCCGTCCCTCGAACCTATCCCAACAACAGCCCTGCCGCTGTTTATTCGAGCTCGGCTGGCGGCGTACACGGTTCGACGGGTCGCGCTGATCGCCCCGCCCTCTGGGCCGTATCAGCCACTCCCTCCCCCGTCCCCCTTCGTTGCCGCCTCGCCGGCGCCGGCGCCGGGCCCGCGTGAGGCTGCACTATCGGGCCGGGCCGTCCCGCCGCCGCCGCCGCCGCCGCCGCCGCCGTCGCCGCCCGGGCGCGTCTGCGGCTGAGTCGGCCACGGCCAGGGCCGGCGATAGGGGTGCACCGAGTGGCGTAGGCTCCGGCGGAGACGCTGAGGTGTGGCGGTCCGGCGGCGAGCGGCCGGTGGTGGAGAGCGCCGGCCGCCGCCGCCGCACTGGCTCCACGGTAGCTGACGAACTGTCGATATTGGTGAGAACGTGCCGACATTGGGTCGGGTACTTTCACATCTGACGCAAGCCATTAGCATGCCGGGCCGCAGGGCGGCGGCGGACCGTGGCGCGCCGCCGTGTGTGGCGGCTGCAGGGCCTCGCGCCGTCCCTTGGGCCGCCCGCGCTAACGAGCCCAGACTGATCGCCGCCGGTCACGTGATGTGGCCCTGACCGTGGTGAGGGGTGGGTGTGCCCGGACCGTGCAAGGCGGAGGTGGGACTCCCCGGTGGTGGGCTGACTGGCGGCGTGAGTCACGGCCGACAGCTGTGCGTACTCCACACCCGACGCTTCTCTCTCCGATCGCCCGCAGGCTCGTCAACTCACTACTGAGCGAAGAGCTGAAGGAGATCCACGCGTTCTCGCAGAAGACACTGACGCCGGATCAGTGGGAGCAGCAGCGGCAGCTGCAGGAGAAGCAGTAGGTAGCAGCAGCGGCAGCGGCAGCAGTGCCATGGCGGACGCCAGGAAGCCGGTGCTGCACGTCTCGGCGCCGGGCAAGATCATCCTGTTCGGCGAACACTCCGTCGTGTACAAACGGCTGGCGATCGCCGTGTCGGTGGGCCTGCGCACCAAACTGAACCTCTACCAGACGGACGGCGAGGTCAGCCTGGATCTGCCCGACATCGGCCTGCGGCGCAGCTGGCCCGTCGCCCAGGTACGCGCCTGGATGGCCGAGCTGGTGCAGAACGACTGGCGCGTGCCTACCTCGCCGAGCCGCGAACTGAAGCAGCGCCTGCTGCAGGCCGTGCACCGCCACGTGCCCGACCTGAGCCAGCAGCACGCGCTGGCTCTCGTCTCCTTCTTCTACCTGTACTGCAGCCTGTGCCCCAGCTTCCCGGGCGTGCACGTGGAGGTGCGCTCGGAGCTGCCGACCGGCGCCGGCCTGGGCAGCTCGGCCGCGTACGGCGTGAGCCTGGTCACGGCGCTGCTCTACCGCTACCACCAGGTGGCGCCGTCGGCGCACGAGCGGCTCACGCTGCACACGGGCGAGGAGGTGCGCCCGGACGCCGTCACGCGCGAGCTCATCTCCGGCTGGGCGTACACCAGCGACCAGATCATCCACGGCGACGCCAGCGGCATCGACAACGCCATCTGCGCGCACGGCGGCGCGCTGACCTTCCGTGCCAGCGAGATTCGGCCGCTGCAGGATACTCAGCTGATTCAGGTTGGTGGAGATGCTCGTGGTGTGGGGCGCGCGCGCTCCGGAGGTGCGATCGCGCCCCCTACCATACGCTCGCACTCGGTTGGAGAGTCGTGCGAGTGGCGCGCCCACGCCGGGCCAAACGTATGCACGGGAAATGCGTGCAAAGCCAGGTCATTGGGGGACCCTCACATGCCTCGCGCAGGTGGTAACGTTTGAAATGATGTATCCCCGCACCCAGTCCCTCCACGCTGACAGAACCTGAATTCGCGCCGCTCCTGACAGTGCTGCACGGGCGTTCGGCTACTGGCCCGGATCAGGCACACACGATACAGATGCGCGCACCGCCATACTCCAATCATCTAGGCAAACGAATGACCCCACGGCGCAGTCACTGACGGGCACCTGTCCGATACTCGGTTGTCGGGCACGTGTGTACGAAATCGCGCTGCGAAAACGAAATGCGCACCCAGCCTGATTAAGTCGTGCAGACTTACTTGAATGGCTTTGGCTGTAACCTCGAGGACTGGGTTTGTGAGTCTTTTTTGGTCGGCTCTGTGAGCCGTGGCCTTAGCCGAAAATACCGCCTTGGTGGCCCATTCCTGACTCCTGCACGTGTGGGGTGGTGCTTGGAGTCGGTGACCTGCTGACCTCCGAAGTCAGAGGCCGCGTTGGCCAGATTAGATTGCAGACGGCAGACAATCGGCGCGGGCCCATTCAGGCGGCTGCGGGGGCTTGCCCGGCCAGCGGGGCGCCGGTGGTGGCGTACGTGACTGTGGCGGGGCAGGGCAAGCGGTCCGTGGGCGGGCGCAGGCGCGACCGGCGACACCGCACCGCGTGACGTAAGCCCGGGTGCCGAGCATGCCGTCGCGGCTCGGCGCGGTGTCACGTCAAGCGGCGCGGCCGAGGCACCGGCGTGGCGTGCTCCGTCGCGGTGGGCTGACGACCCCTGTGCCGGCTCCAGACGCATGTCAGTGTACATATGCATCAGTGAAGCGCGCCACTGGCTCATTAGCTGCTCGGGTATTGTGTGCGCCTCTGCTTGCTGACGCGAGAGCTTATCGAGATCCGGTAGACATGTCACGGCGTTATCAGCGCCCGAGCTTCGGCTGCGCGAGCTGACGACAGGGTAGTTAAGATACCCCGCTGTTGGCTGGGACCGGTGCTCTCGTCCCCCGTCCCGTCACAGTACCGCACAGAGTCAAACGTTCCTCACTTGACACCCTGTATGTGGAGGCACAGGCTGTTCTGCATCTTGTTCAATACCCGCTGGATGTAAAGACCCATGCCGCGTTCGACGGTCTTCGCGGAACACAAGGCTTGACCGTCCCGAACTCACCGCTTTTGGCGGGAGACTGTCGCTGGATCGTCCACCACTCGACGGTCTATTCCGAGATGCAGAAACGAACGCATCCATAGCTGGTGACGCACTGTGCTCATGGCGCCGTTGTGATCCGCCTCCCCCCCCCCCCCCCCCCCCCACCCCCTGTGCCCACCTCGGCGTCCGCCGTTGGCCCCAGGCCGTCCCTGACCGCCCCCAGGCCACCCCTAACCGTGCCCCGTCCGCCCGGCAGGTGCTCCTGGTGGACACGCACGTGCCGCGCGACACGCGCGCCCTGGTGCAGCGCGTGCGTGAGCGGCGCGCCGACGACCGCTTCGCCGGCGTGATCGAGCCCGTGCTGTGCGCCATGGACGCGCTGGCCGAGTCGGCGCGCGACGCGCTCACCGTCGGCGACGAGCCGGCGCTGGAGCGGCTGGTGCAGATGAACCAGGGCCTGCTCAGCACACTGGGCGTGTCGCACCCGGCGCTCGACGCCATCTGTCTGGTGGCCGCCCGCCACGGCCTGACGGCCAAGCTGACGGGCGCCGGCGGCGGCGGCTTCGCCATCGTGATGCTGCCGCTCGACACGCCGGACAAGAAGAAGGTTCAGATACAGGAGGATCTGGAGAAGGTGAGGGCCGTGCCGCCTCGGCGGAGGTCGCCAAAGGGGTGCGTGGGGGTCGGCTTTGGTTCGCGCTCACGGGCTGTTTTTCGCCTCTCCGCGGCGGAAGTGTTTTGGCCGCGTCATCAGCGGCTCAGTAAAAAGGCGGCGCACCGTAGCCCTCGTACCCGTGCTCCGTCACCCGGCTTTGATCTGATGGCCGATTTCCGGGCGACGCGCTGAATTGGCTCCATTGGTGCCCGGTCATGCGTCCTGCCCGGCAGAGGAAGGCCAGGGCCGTTGCGTGACACATCTGTGGGTTCGGAGGCGTCCACTGATGGGGAGTGAAGGTCGTCTGCGCCGGCGGTCTGTAACGTAAACCAATCCTTTAGTGGCTGGGTGGGCGCGCGTCGCCAGGCGGCGTGCTGACGACGCTCCCGGGGCTTAAGTGTTCGAAGCATGGGGCGTGGTCGTCGCTGGCGGCGTGCGCCTGTCCCTTCCCGTGTCGGGCGGGTCGGAAGTGACGCCGCTGGCGGCAGCTTCTGGGGCCATCCTCGTACATCCCGCACGGCCCGGTCGTGCTGCAGACTGTGCGCGAACGCCTAGTGGGAGCTAATGGGAACTACTGGAGTACCGGTGGTGCGCCAGTACGTAGTTTGGCGGTACCGGGCGGGGGTTGGCGTATTCGCTGTCGTTTGTGCCGAAGGGCTCCAGCGATATGCACAGAGCATGCACCGAGCACACGTGCCGTGCTCCCGGCCCCCGACCCGCTGCTGCGACACTGACGGGACGGGGGACGAGAGCATCGGTCTCTGCCACGACCGGAGGGTTCGCTGTTTCCCTGCGACGCCCGCCTCGGCCGGGAGTGGCCGCTCCGTCTCCCCGTCTGACCGACGCTCCGCTCTGTTTCAGCTCGGCTACGGCGTCCGCAGCGTCGAGGTGGGCGGCCGGGGTGTCGTCGTGCAGAACCTGACGGCATGACAACCTGACTTGGGCCGGCATAGGTCGTCGCTGTAACTTATTCCATGTATTTATTCGGTCGCAGGTTGTCCCCACCCGAGATGCGCCTCTGTTTCCTGCTGTCCGATGCTTTATATGGGTGCAGAATACATTATAGTTTATCCGAACGCTGCCTTTCACCGGTGTGTTGTGTGGCGGCTGCGCGAGCGGAAAGATACGCCGTTTCCCTGCGGCTGGCGACCGTACCACGGAGCATGACACATCTAACGGATTCCGACCGATGCCCCGGCGCGCCGCCCCATCTCCGGGCGTTCGCCGCTGATGGATCCGGAGCAGAATTTGCATGTGGCGCCGGATACGATCCCTGGTATGGGTGACCCTGACCCGGCGCCGTGTCGGCGGGCGGGGACGCGGGGCTGGTCGGGGCTGCCCAGGCGGAGCGCCACCTCCGCGGGAACGCGAAATGTGCGGGGCAGCGGCGTGTCACAGAGAAAGTGAGACGCACACAAAAACGCCGGCGGAGGACGGGCGGCCAGCAGAACTGGGTCGTCATTAGCGGCGTCGGCTCGGCGGGAGGTGTGTAACACGCACTGTCGCCTCGGGCGCCGGGTTCGGAGAACCGACTCGACCCGGCTGACCGTGGCACAGGGGGCCGGACGGCGGTGGAATGGTGCCGCGCCGATGCTCCCGGGGCGTGTTGGCCAGGCCAACTCGACACACTTCTTCTCACGGATTTTATGAAAGAGGCGCGCCGATGTTGCACGTGCTGCGACATGCGGCCGTCGCGTGCCGGCTTAACGACAAGCGTGATGTTTTGTCAGCTGAAATCCACAATTACTAGTCTTTTAAGGTATGGTGCTGCGTGTCCATCACGGTACCTACTTACTTCACCCACAGCTGTAGCCAGCATGATCACGAACGTCGCAGCTGTCGCAACAAGACCCGTAAACTGCGCGGTGTGTCGGTTTTGAACCCGGCTCCCCACGCTCAGATGTGCTGTGCCAAGTACACCTCGTGAGCGGTCCGCATGCAGACGCCGTCGGGCGGAGCGTCGACCGTCCAGGCACATTGCTTGTTACTGCTGCCTGGCGCGAAACGGATTTTCCTGCCATGGTGTCGCTGTAGGTGTCACTGGTGTCACACACATGGTGTCACTGTCGCAGCAAAGCCCGCGGCTGGGCCAGTCAGGTCAGTTCTGTAACATCATACGCACGCGTGTTGTCTGTTAAATAGACGGTGCATCTGACTGGCTTGGTCAGTGGCTTCGTTGTGACACAGTCTATCATGACGGTGACAAAAATACAGTGCTGTGTGAGACAAAAACAGCAAACAAAATAACAGGAATAATCAGAAGATCGACATCCAGTTGGCGCGCCATGTGTATGTTTCCGCTTGCCGCTGCGTTATGTTTCCACTTACGCTGCGGTAGATTTCCTCTTCCATAGGTGAGTCACGCGCTGATATTGGTAGCTTGGAGCAGGCAAGCAGGCGCGTGCTCGAATGCGCTATCATGTGGTCAGGAGCGAGCAGACATTTACCGCCTCTCAGTGGCCGGAGACGTTCCTTGTCGTCAAATTCGTCTGTTTTATTAGCCATATTCTGCGGTTGCTTTGGAACTATCAGCTGGTTTCAAAATGTGTAATGATGACTATTCCAGGGCTTATGGGCGTACAATCATCCGAGAATCTATTGCAATGCCTGCTTACCAGACTGAGTCTGTACCCCACTGTCAACAGCAGCGGGAGGTGCCATGTGCTGGTGGGCCGATATCGCACGTGACAGATTTAGCGACGACACGCCGTCACGACGTGCCGTGATCCTCCGTGGTTCCCGATACCGCCTGCGCATCCGTGTACAAAGTCGGAGCATCCGTGGAAGTGCCGCACCGGTGGCACCACGCTAGCCAGTCGGGCGGCGCCGCTGCCGGCCGGCCGGCCGTGTGTTTGTCGCCGCGGACAGGCGGGGGTAGGGTGACGGCGCGGCGCGGCCCAGCCGGCCCTGAGCCGGCCGTCAGCCGCGCTGGCGGCCGTCGGCCTGTTTGTACCGGCTGCAGACGGTTTGATTGCGCCTCCATGTGTCGCGGCGCGACGAGCCGTCACCAGCCGTCACGCCCCGTATAAGAGCGCCGTTCCCCCATGGGGCGCCACCAGCCGGCGAGCACCGTGCCCAGGGCGACCCAACACAGCACAACATGAGGTAAGGCGAGAGGACCCGGCACGGCCGGCATCCGCAGGGCGCAGACGGGGGTCTCCGACCGGTCGAGTTCAGCCCGATCGTACCGCAAACCTTGTGCACTTCGCGATGTGTTTTGTGCAGCCAACATGGGTATGTTCGTTAACCGTTTCAACCTTGTGATGTTTGTGTAGTGTAATTCGTCCAGATGCACCCTCATGTGATTTTAAAGTCGCCGTAGTCGCCTTTTCTACCTCATCGTACTGCTCCTACAACAACGCCGGACAAGACCGTGCGATTTATGGCCACTTGAAAATCTTGAGCCGATCCTGCCTCGCATTTTGCGCAGAACTATTCTTATATGTAAACTACCTGGGCTAGAACTGCAAGCGGGAGGGCTAGGATAGCAGGCGGGCGGGCTGGACGGGCGTGAGAGAGGGCTAGGACCACAAGCGAGAGTGCTAGGAGGGCAGGCGAGAGGCTAGGCGCGCAGGTGGGAGTGCTAGGACGGCAGGCGGGAGGGCTAGGAGGGCAGGCAGAAGGGCTAGAAGGGCAGGCGGGAGGATTGGAAGTGCAGGCGGGAGGGCTAGGAGTGCAGGTGGAAGGACTAGGAATGCAGGCGGGCGGGCTAGGAAGGGCAGGTGGGAGTGCTAGGACCGCAGGCAGGAGTGCTTGGAGGGCAGGCGTGAGGGCTAGGAGGGCAGGCGTGAGGGCTAGGAGGGCAGGCGTGAGGGCTGGGAGGGCAGACGGGAGGGCTAGGACGGCAGGCGGGAGTGTTAGGAGGGCAGGCGGGAGTTCAAGAAAGGCAGACGGGAGGACTAGGAGAGCAGGGGGAGGGCTAGGGAGCAGGTGGCGCGGATCCGTCTGCATGATAACGTCTCAAAAGGGCCCCCAAGAAGACGGTGGCTCGTCGGCTACAGTTCAGCTGACTCCGGCAGTTCCGCTGCTGCGTGGTTGCTTCCACCGCCATTGACGGATCCGCTGCTGAAGAACTGTTCCGCTGTTGGCACTGTGCACGATCCCGCTGCCGCAAGCTGCGCCGTCGCTGATGCTGTCGGTCTCGATGTCGCCGAGCTGCGTCTCTGCTTACGCCAGCGGTCGTGCTGTTCCAGAGCTCTCCCGCTGCTGGCGTTGGTGTCGCTGGCACTGTGGGCCAGCGCCACCTACATATCGCCGCGGGCGCTGGCCTACCGGCGGCCGGTGCGCTCGCTGATCGCGCCATCAGCCAATCCGCGACTCGGCTTCTCGTTCGTGGAGGCGCAGCTGGCCCGACGGCTGCTGCGCCAGCTGATCGGTGCGCGCTACCCGAATCCCCAGCTGGGCCTGCTGCAGCAGCTGGTCGGCGCGCAGCGGGCACCGCGCCTGGCAGGCCTGCTGCGGGGGCCGTACCGCCGCTTCGTGGAGCCCATCTACCCGGGGTTGCTACCCTACTACCTGTACAACCGCGGCGGGTGGGTAGCGCACTGGCGCATGGCCAGGGGCACAGTCAGAGCCTCTGTACCTTTACGACTGGGGTTGATGGGTGGCTGCAGCATGGATTCTGTGAATGTAAACCGACCACTACACCGGTGAACTGGATCAGGTGAAGCACAGAGTAGAAGTTAGGCACTGTATACACTTTTATCTTTCCCACGGCCGTCACGCAGACCTGTGTCAAATCTGCACTTCTTACGTCATTAAATGCCGGCGGCATTGCTAAGTTGTTCCGTCCGGTGACGGGAGCTTAATGACTGATCACTGCCATGTTCTGTGATCTGTTGTGACGCGAGGGTCAACTCAGGTCAGACTTGTTCAGCCACGCGGTCCGATGCCTCTCTATCAGCTCCCTGTGTTCAGCCGCCGCAGCCAGCCAGGCTGAGTCCCTGTCGCCCAATGGCCCATATTGCTGCGCGGACAAGGAGAGGAGAGCCGCTCCAAGCGGCGTGTGTCCACTAACCAGAGCCATGGTGTAACCAACTGCTGCCTCTGACCTCCGACCTCCTCAGGGCACGGCTGTTCTCGCGGAGAAACGTCCTCCACCCGCTGAGGCGTCTGACCGCTGCGCGCGTGCAGCGGCAGTTCATCCGTTTCCTCACGCGTATCGACCCCCGGTGAGGACGACCTCGCTGCGCACCCGTGACCGTTCCCAGTGTGTGGTGGTGACCGGTGGCCCGCAGGCACGAGGGAGGGGACCTCGCTGCGCACCCATGACCGTTCCCAGTGTGTGGTGGTGACCGGTGGCCCGCAGGCACGAGGGAGGGGACCTCGCTGCGCACCCATGACCGTTCCCAGTGTGTGGTGGTGACCGGTGGCCCGCAGGCACGAGGGAGGGGACCTCGCTGCTCACCCATGACCGTTCCCAGTGTGTGGTGGTGACCGGTGGCCCGCAGGCATGAGGGAGGGGACCTCGCTGCTCACCCATGACCGTTCCCAGTGTGTGGTGGTGACCGATGGCCCGCAAGCACGGGGAGGGGACCTCGCTGCTCACCCGTGACCGTTCAGTGTGTGGTGGTGACCGGTGGCCCGCAGGCACGAGGGAGGGGACCTCGCCGCGCACTCGTGACCGTTCAGTGTGTGGTGGTGACTGGTGGCTCCCAGGCAGGGGCGGGGGCACCGGTTCTTTCGAACAGCGCTAAGCGATGCTAATAGCAAGTTTTGTTGACAATGTAGGAACATGTGCCGAAGATCGTCCCCTGTATTCTAGTCAGCATACTGGCGATGACCACGCGAGCTATACTGATGTTTTCCGCACTTGAGTTTCGGCACGTGACGGCATGCCCTGCTTGTTCTTTCAGGCTGCTCAACTCCGGTGTCGATAATGGCGTGTTCTCGACCGTGCGCTCCGACCTGCTGAAGCTCAACAAGCGGTACAGGTTCCCGGTGCCCCTGCTGCGTAATCTCTACAACACCTTCATCTCGGTCATCGCTGGAAAGTAAGATCAAGCCGTTCCTTTGGCAGCGATACACTGATTATAACGATGACACCTCATGACACCTCTTAGCATGCCACACGCCAAAGCAGCTGTCAGTTTCTTCCATCCAGCCTGCATTTTGGCACAGTTCATGGGAAATAAACGCTTTTTGTCATGGTTTGTTCGAAATTGTGCTATATGCGTGTGCTTGTGACCAGTCCTCGATGGGAGAGGCCAGTGGCCTCTACAGCGCACCTTGTGAGTGTTACGGTCAGCGCCAGCTGTGATCAGCTGTGGTCAGCGTCGTGACCGGGCCGTCTGCCGGACAGCGGCCGGAGCAAGTTCCTGCTGGGCCTGACGCCGCAGCTGCGTGTGCGCCACTTCTCCACCAGCCTGGGCCTGTACCTGCGCCAGCTGGGCGGCGGCCTGTCGTCCCGGCTGCGGAACAGGTGCGTCCTGCGCCCCGGTCTCGGCCCTCTCTCCGCGCGGGGGAGGGGGGGGGGGGCGGAGGACCGGCGGAACACGGTCGTCACTGGTGCGGTGCTGCCTAGCTGTCCCTCAGAGAAGCCGTCCGGCAGTTGGACAGTGCAGCCGCAGTTTCAGATTCTTGGATCCCTGAGGATGGAATGATTGGACTGACAGTCACTGAGGGTTAAGGATCACTGCTGAGTTGCTAACGCGGCGAGCCTCGACCTGACTGGACCTGCTTATTTGCTGCATACTGCATGTAGCAGAGCTGTAAGGTCAAACAGTTCGGGTCGTCGCTACGCAGCCCACCCCTGAAACACGGCGAGTGAGACGCTGGCCCGGCGCCGAGCGCTGCGGGGTCCCGTGTTTCCACACTGCATCAGCATTGTTGGCTTAGTGTGTCACCGTCAGTGAAGTGGCAGAACTAGCGGCGAATGACTGCGGGTCAGATCTGGGCTGACTAATGGCACCACAGCTGTCTGGAACATGTCAGTCTGCCTGCTGGACTGTGGGGATGCGCATGAAGACGGCATCAAAATCTCAGCTTGGCAAACAAATCTAAAATGTTACAACAGGCCCCACCTTGGCAAATCGCCGCCATTGTTTCATTGAATTGACCTGAGACGTTCCATTTCAGTCCTCTGCTGATTCAGGACTTCGCAAACAACGTCGATGGGCGATACATTCTGCACAACAGCGGAATCGGTCTTCTTGGGTACGGTACACGGCCCAGTTCAGAATTATCACGTGTGTGACGCGGCAGGATCGTTGTGACGTACCATCTCCGCGCGTGCGGTATTGTGCCATGCATCATTAAGACAGAGATAAGTCATGCCTTCGGGCTGCGAAGGCATGACTTATCATGGCCTTTCTCCATTAAGCCTGATGGCGGGTATTTCACGTATCTCGTTGTGTTATCTTGAAGTGAGTACTGTTTCCGTGTAGTCATGTCCTTGTTTGGTGTATTGGGACAGTAGCGCATCGCTGACGTGGCAGCGGGTTTTATGGCTCTGCTGGGACAGTCTTCGTGATTTATTGTCTGCAGCTGTTTGTAGTCAGACGTCAGCAGAGTTTTCTCACTAAGCCGACATCTGTCACGGTTGCGTAACTTCGCAAAGTTATGCACGAGCCCTCGATATCCGGCCACAAGCTCTGGTGGCCGTCGTTCAGTGTAGCTGGATTTGACGCTATTGAGATCATTAGCTGCCTGTGTTCTCGTGCCCTCTGCACTGTGGACATGTGTTCTCACGCCCACTGCACTGCGTACATGTGTCCTTACGCCATCTGCACTGTGGACACGTGTCCTCACGCCAGCTGCACTGTGGACATGTGTCCTTACGCCAGCTGCACTGTGGACATGTATTTTCACGCCAGCTGATCTGTGGCATGTCTGCTCACGCCAGCTGCACTGTGGACATGTGTCCTTACGCCAGCTGCACTGTGGACATGTATTTTCACGCCAGCTGATCTGTGGCATGTCTGCTCACGCCAGATGCACTGTGGACATGTCTGCTCACGCCAGCTGCACTGTGGACATGTATTTTCACGCCAGCTGATCTGTGGCATGTCTGCTCACGCCAGCTGCACTGTGGACATGTCTGCTCACGCCAGCTGATCTGTGGACATGTCTGCTTCACGCCAGCTGATCTGTGGACATGTCTGCTCACGCCAACTGATCTGTGGACATGTCTGCTCACGCCAACTGATCTGTGGACATGTCTGCTCACGCCAGCTGATATGTGGACATGTCTGCTCACGCCAACTGATCTGTGGACATGTCTGCTCACGCCAACTGATCTGTGGACATGTCTGCTCACGCCAACTGATCTGTGGACATGTCTGCTCACGCCAGCTGCACCGTGGACATTGCAGGCGCCGCGTGCCCAATGTGGCCGACCAGTTCTTCCTCCAGCTTGAGCAGGATCACTTCAACGCCGTCAGGAGCGTGCTCTCCGGAATATTCCAGGTCCAGCAGAGCATCAGGTACTGGCGTCACTCGAGGACCGTGACATCGACCTCAGTAGGCCTCTCGGAAGGGTGACGTCTATCACTTGAAAACACGCGGTTTACTGAGCGAGCTAAAAGTGTTCAGCACTGCATGGCGACACCGCCTCTTATTTTGTATGCTTTTTGGTGCGTCATGTTATCTGTGACGTCAGCATTGGTCAAATTTAGCATGGGCTTGCCTGGCGCCAGACCAGCCCAATGGCACTAATGAGCATGTAAATACGGTACGGCCTGTAATATAAACCACGCATGAATTCGAAATGAACGCGGCCCAATTTCATACGCAGCAGGGCTAAGCCCACCGCCTTCGCACCGCGCTCCGTCTGCCTCCGTCAGTCGCTCTGACACAGTCCGCGCGCTCCGTGCCAGCCTGGCGAGCCTGCCGCAACTCGGCTACTCCGGCCTGCTGGCGAACCGCTACTACCCGGGTCTGCACGCCGGCCAGACGGACATCGTGGCGCGGTACATCCTGCGCGCCCTCTCCGGCTATGGAGCCCTGGACAAGAGGTCAGCCGCGCCCCCGGCGGAGGTCGCCAGCTGATCGGGTCGGGGAGAACGACAGTGTGCCGGAGCCCCGCAGCACACTGTGGGGCGAGCTGTCGCTCAAAGGCTGAACGGTCGTGTCTCAGTGTCTTGCTGCGGCTGCGATTGGCTGCTGTGTCGTAAATCATGTCGTGTCGCCCCAGCCCAGCGGTGCTGCGCAGGACCTGTTTCTCTAGCGCAGTGATCCTGAGCGGTGGCTGCTCCCCGGCTGCCTCCACAGCTCGTGCTAGGCTGCGTGACGTGTGTGTGTCTGACGCGGCCTCGTCCGGCGCCGACAGCGCCGGCCTGATCCAGACGCTGCCGTACCTGCCCTACGTCCGCGGCCTGCCGAGGGGTGTCATCGGCGCCATCCAGGGCAGCGACCTCGGCGCTAGCTTGGCCGGCCTCAACATCCCCGGGTCAGTCCAGACGCGCGCTGATTGGCCGCAGAGCCTGCCGAACCGCGTCCCAGCGTCGCGTGACGCCGCGAGGTCATCCTGAGGTCCCTGGAGTCAGCGCTCGTGGGAAGCTCCGGGGTCGGCTGGACCTCACAGTGATGATACTGACGTCAGCCACTCAGAGACAGACTGAGTTACGCGTTTTCTCTGAACGTTCCCACCGACGTCGTGTTGTGTCGAGTCGGCAGCCAAACAACACCACCAGTGGTCCTGCATACCAGTCCGGAGCCCTTGCAGGATCACTTACCGCTGTTGACCTGGCTGGGGTGGCTGTAGAGGACTGACACAGTGGGTCACCGGCGATCTGCCGAGGACTTCCGGTGTCGGCTGTGTGTTCTCGGCCGTTGTCTCGGCACGGCAACGGCTGTCGGCCGCCGCCGTGTCTGTGTTCTGACAGACTGGCGCAGCACCTGACCGTCACCGTGCCTGTGTTCTGACAGGCTGGCGCCGCGGCCTGACCGTCACCGTGCCTGTGTTCTGACAGGCTGGCGCAGCACCTGACCGTCACCGTGCCTGTGTTCTGACAGGCTGGCGCCGCGGCTGACCGTCACCATGTCTGTGTTCTGACAGGCTGGCGCCGTGGCAGACCGTCACCGTGCCTGTGTTCTAACAGGCTGGCGCAGCACCTGACCGTCACCGTGCCTGTGTTCTGACAGGCTGGCGCCGTGGCAGACCGTCACTGTGTCTGTGTTCTGACAGGCTGGCGCCGCGGCTGACTCCGGGAGTTCTGCGCGCGGCCCGCAGTGACCGTTTCATCACGCAGACGCTGCTGGCCGCCCTGCTGCACGGTGTGCGCTACACCACTCCCCAGCAGGGCACGCTGCTGTTCCGGGACATCCTCGCCAGTCTGTGAGTGACGCCGCCCCCGCGCGGGGCTTGCGACTGAGCCTCGCCCGCGGGCGCCGGACAGCTTGGCTGTGGGCCGTGTCCGCTGTCGGAGTGGGCGTCATTGTAACCTGCAGCGCTCAGGTATGTTTGATGTGTAGACTAGTCATGGAAGTCGTGAAGGGATTACAGTCGACCCCGGGATAATTATATTGCAAAGGGTTGTAGGCTGGATAAATGCTTGTTAATGAAAGTCTGAGTCGGTGCTAGCTTGTATCAATTCGGTTCTCGAAATGTACGTGATCATCTGTTTGATTTTTTGATATATTAATTTCAATGCGCACAGTTTCGAACACCATATGCATGCCACCGTGCGCACAAGACTTTTTCCGGATTTCAGTTCTGGTCAGTTAGGATCGCGTGCAAAGGGATATACCCTAAATGAGCCCACCGTGATCGCACACCACCCCAGGAAACCTGTTTCGGTCACCGCAGACGTGTTGATGGCCGTGCCTCTGCCGCAGGCTGCTGCACGAGAAGCGCTACAGCCCTGCCCAGTTCCAGTCGTTCCTGGCCGATCCGATCCGGCCGTTCGTGCTGCTCAACCGCGTCATTCTGCCCAACACTCTGCCAGCCATCCGACGCATGTGAGCGCGCGCTCGTGCCACGCGTGCGTCAGCGAGCTGGGGAGGGGGGGGGAGGGGGAGTCGCCACTCTTCAGGCGTGACCAGCAGTCGAGCGACGGCTCGCTCGGTGGATGCATCGTCTTGTTCAGACAAGTCTGCCAGTCTTCAGGCAGAGTCCCAACCGTGCTCACGTTTCGCGGATTACGATTTGGACCCGGCAGGCATGCGTGGAAAATTCCACGCTTCAGTGGTTATTGACTGCAGTAGACAGTATGAGGTTAGCTGTTCCGTCGGGAGAGGTTGTCGTGTACCTGTGAGCAGCAGACGAACGCAAGGGCAGTAACTCCACCGATACCGTCACCTGACCCACATAACAAGCCGGCTCCTCTCGTGACGTGACGCTCCCGCGGCTCCCTCCGTGACGTCACGCCCTGCGATCGTCCGTCGGCGGACGCGACGCTGACGGGGCGTCTCCTCGGCTCCCTCCGTGACGTCACGCGCTGCGACCGTCCGTCGGCGGGCGCGACGCTGACGTGACGCTTCCGCGGCTCCCTCCGTGACGTCACGCCCTGCGACCGTCCGTCGGCGGGCGCGACGCTGACGTGACGCTTCCGCGGCTCCCTCCGTGACGTCACGCCCTGCGACTGTCCGTCGGCGGGCACGACGCTGACCTGGCTTCTCCGCGTTAGCCCTCAGATCCAGCTGGTGCCGCTGAACAGCATCCTGTCGCTGCAGGCGGCCCTCAGCCAGGGCCTCATCCGCCTGCCCAACGGCCTGCATCTCGTGCCCGGCCGGCCGGTCTCGCCCACCGTGCCGGTCGTCACCCAGCCGCCCTTCCCGAGGTACGCCGCCCAGCACCGGTGCAGCAGGCCGGTCCACTGGCTGGGCCGCGCTGGTGTGCACCGGCTGGGCCTTTGAGCGTACGCGCTGTCCACCCGGGTTGCGTGGTGTGTGTGTGTGTGTGTGTGTGCTGGTCCGTGCGGGCGGGGCGTAGGCGGCAATGATCGGGTTGTCTGCCGATGTGATGGCCCGTTGTCCTCACAAGTTCAGGAGTCTGTTCCGTTCAGCTCTCTGTGGCTCGACGCTCGCTGTTCCCCAGCATCCCGGCGGTGTCCACGGGCCCTATGCTGCGGTATCATGGTGATAACGTTCACTGCCCGCTCTGTCACGTACCGAAGCGGTGATGTCCAGCGCCTGTCGCGTCGCAGAACCGTCATGATGCCTCTGCCGGCTGTTTGGCAGCGTCGTGGTGGCTCGCGTCACCCTGCGCAGCGCCGTGGCCCGCCGGGTCTACACCCTGCTGAGCGGTGGCATTCCAGTGCTGACGGTCGAGCTGCTGCAGCCCGTGCTCCAGCTGTTCGTCGAGAGACGGGTCATCAGTGTCCAGGTACGCGGCTTCCGCCGGGCGCAACATCGTCTTCTCACCGTGTGACATGCGATTTGTGGGGCTGTCGTCAGGTGGGTTTGCCGAGTCGAAGCACACGTGATGTCTTTGATATGAGTCCTGGCTTTGTCTGCGGGCTTGAAAGCGAGTGAAGGCAAGGTCTCGTCACCTATGATGACTCTAGTTTGAGTCCGTTCGACGACAGCGGAATCTGTCGCAGAAGATAACCCGTCGTTGCCAGTGGCGTACAAAACGCAGGGCTCATCGGGCAAGGCTCAAAGCCATACGTCAATTCGCCACGCATATGTCGGTGGCGTAGCCAAGGCCAGGCTTTTGGAGCTACAGTTCCCCTGAAGATGATGAATGCCTCTCAGCCAGACTTAAATACTCCTCGGCAGTTCAAAACGTTCGTTTGGCTTCCAAAACATCGAATGGCTGGTTACCGAGGCATTAAGATAGGACCTTGAACCTAAAAAGGCCCCGAATAAAAAACATGACCCCTACGCGACAAAGTGCGTACGCTGGCTAGAAAGGCCCCATGACCCGGTTCGGCCCTTCTGGACGGATTCCTGGCTGCGCTATTGGCGCAACCGCTGCTTGCTCCAGCTGCTGCGGACGCCCGACAAGCTGTACGACTACATCAAATCGGTGCTGTTGCCGCGACTCAAGCCTGATGTCACCACAGCCATCAAGATCTCCACCGTCCCCGACTTTGTCAAGGACAGCGCATTCACCAAGGCCGTTGTAAGTATGTATGTGCGGATTGGGTTAAAGTGTAAATGGGGTGCTTAGTGAGTGTGGTGTCCCCTAAAAAAGGTATTTGGGCCGACTTTAGCGCTAACAACTCAATGCAATAATTATGCAATCTGATGGCAGCCTTTCCTTGGATTTGAGCAGTGGCGGGGAGAAATCAAACGCAGCAAGGAGCGTTCGAAGCAGCTGACATGCTTAAGAGCGCTGCCATTATGTGATGGGAAAGCGAGACCGGCTGGCTAATGGTTCCCGGCTGATGGCAGGCTCGCCTGGCCTACGTGCTGGACACGCTGGTCATTCACTGCCACGGCTACACCAAGCTGGAGGGCGCCATCATCACCACCACAGTGCAGGCCACACTGCGGTCCTACTACGGGGTTCACAAGTCAGTACCACTGATAGGTGTGCGGCAGATGAATGTGACCCTTGACCAGACGGTGCGGAGTACCGAATCCGACCTTGGCTCACCTGGCAGCGCTCCGATTTTTGGTTTTGCCGCGCTACCAGGCTGCGAGGTTTCTTGCTTTCATCGGCAGGCCCTTTTCTGTTTCTGCCACGGGCTTGTTTATAGCTAGATTACTCTTGCCCGTCTGAAATGGTTGACGTCCTCCAGATGGGCAAAACTTGATCGCTTTAGAAAGTGATCGAAATGCGTTTTATGCAGCTCATCGAATATGCCTACTGAAATCCGAACGGTGCACGAGTTGCATGTGCTGTGCTTAGATTGGTTTTACTGTAGTCAATGCCAGCATAATTTTGATTCCAGGGTGTTCAAAGCGACCACGTTCTTGGCATACGCTATCAAGTACTATCCGCAGCTGGTATTCGGCGGGTGAGTTCGAGCATGAGCCTACTGTACTGCCTTCAAGTCCGTGCCGTAAGGACAACGGAAACAGGAGGGGGGGGGGGGGGGGGGGGGCCCATTCAGGTTCGTCAATGAACCGTACTGCACGATAACGCTTCGTTTAACGATCTTGTTCATTCGGTTGTGTCGCTGAATTCTGAGCTGAACAACGCCGAGCATCGGTGAACGACCTGCACGTCGCAGCCAGTGCTGTGGCTGTTCCGGTGTCCCACGCCGTGTTCAGTGTCGACGTCCTCTGTACCGCGACCTCAGTGTCGTACCTCTCGTGCCGATGCCCCCCCCCCCCCATCCAACCTGCGGCTCTGGGTTCCCATTGCCATCACTCCCAGTTGTGTTTCCCGCTCGCAGTGACCCCGTGCATCCCCCAACAGCGCCACCCCCCCCCCCCCCACGGCGCCTTCCACTCCTAATGACGCGCCCTGCGGCCGTCTCCAGCCTGCTGGTGCGTCCGCTGCAGTTCGGCTCCGCCACGCTCTCGCGTCCCGTGGTGACAGCCACGCTGGCCGGTCTGCGTCCCATCTACGGCCCGGTCACCTACCACGGCCTGGGCACCGTGCTCGGCTTCCCGGGCGCGGCGCCCCTGCTGCGCGGCGTCGACCTCGGTAACGCCGGGGCGCTCGTGCGCGCGCTCTCGCTCGGCGGCCGCCGGCCCGTGCTGAAGCTGAGCCCCGCCGATCTCACTGCTGTGCGCGGCATCCTCAAACCGCTGTGAGTACGCCGATCGGCCGGGCCCTGACTTCGGCGGCGCGGCGGGGAGACCGAACGGCTCTGCGTGGTGGAAGCATGTGGACATGTGAGGGATGGTTGGAGGTATGGGGGGGGGGGGGGGGCATGCAATCACAAATCACAGCTGCGCTGTTTTGCGCTGAAACGGACATGCCTGCTACCATGCCAAGCAACCTATCACTTGTTTGGTCTCGCAAAAGGCATTGTAATCATGTCCGAAGTGAGCTGTTTATCATTTAACTCGTGAGCATGATTGTTCGTAAATTCCCAGCGTTCACATGCTCAAACAGCACCGGTGGCTAGGTGGCTCCCGCATGTCACCCCCGTGGTGTGCGATGTCTGAGCGTTAGTGCGGCGCCGGCAGGACCGTGTTCGACAGGACCTACTCGGTCTCCGACCTGCAGTTCCTATTCTCCTACGGCATCCGCAACCTGCGAATCCCGCGCAGCGTCTACAGCCTGCGGGTCAACCAGCTGTTCAGGGACTCGCTCACCAGCTTCGCCCGCCTGAGGAAGCCGTGAGTACCTGTCCGCCCACAGCCGTCTGGGCGCTGCAGAAGCTGGCAGACAGAGACTCCATTCACTGATGCTGTAGACGTTAGGAGGATGCTGGCAATCTAGAACGACTTAAGGAGAACTTTGAAGGCGCTTGATGGCAAAAGAATTGACGCGCCAATATGCATGCATTGCAAGTTACCGTTGCCGTGAATGAACCAATCACCTTTGAGCTGACGTCGTCGGTCATTGGCTACACAACACGTCGCCAGTCGCCTGCCCTCACGTCCCTTGGCGTTACCACGCGGCGTGTCGTTGGACGGCGCCCTCTGCTGTCCGCCTGACCACAGCACGCCGCTCCGGCCAGGCTGGTGGTGAACCGCATCTACAACCCGGCCTACCTGAACCTGCTCACCAACCGCTTCCTGGTGGACGCGCTGACGACGGGCTCCCTGTCGGCCGGCATCCGACTCAAGATCCCGACCGGCCGGCTGACGCTGCGGCCGCGGCAGCTGTCCTCCTTCGCCCAGCGCACACTACGCCCGCTGGGACTTAGGTGCCGACCGGCTGGTGGCGCGGCCGCTGGTAGCTGTGTTATAACACGGCACTGATGGCCAGTCTCGCTTGGGGGGGGGGGGGGGCTCCGGCTGGGATCTGGCTGCCGGTAACTGTGCCATAACACAGCGCTGACGGCCAGTCTCGTTTGAGGGGGCTCCGGGTACTTTGGCGTGGACTAAGTTGCAGTTTTAATGTGACGTTCCGCTAACTCATCGTAGATTCACACGCTATTATTTGTTTTCGCGTGCTACATCTTGTTTCGATCTTCTCGGAGCATGTATTCCCACTAAACTGCCCACTGAGCAAACCTACAGGCGCGATTGTTGGACCCGCACCGTCCGCTCGCGGCCGCATTCGCACACTGTTCCGCGGAGCACCGCACCCCGGACGTGCCTGCCACCTAGCGGGTGCCGTGCTAACGCGTTTGACCGTCGGGCAGCCTGCTGCCGGCGTACACCCGCCAGCTGCTGTCGTACGCGTTCAACGAGGTGCAGACGCTACGTTCCGTCAAGCCGGCGCTCGCCGTGGATAGCTTCGCGCGCTACCTTAGCGGCGGTCCGTTCAAGAGTTTCGGGTTCTCGCTGAGTGACGGCGAGTTCTCGGGCCTGCTCGCGTCGGTCAGGAAGCATAAGTGGCTGCCTCGCTTCTTCTTCCAATAGTGAGTAGGGGTTGTGTCACGTGGTAGGTTCTGTTGCCATGTAGCCGTATGTTATGAGAGGCACATGTCGGAGAGACGGCTGGCGCTGGCGGGAGATGTGAGACGGAGTCCAGCTTTGAGTGGGAGAGAAGGCAGTGATGCTGAGTCTGGGAGAAATCACCCAACACGAGGGTGCTCATTTCCGTGAGATCGAATGACACGTCACACCTGGGAGCGTCGCACGGCTCGGTTCTCGGTACCTGGCGACTGTCCAGCGGTGTGAGCCGCGCCACTTCCGTCGTCCGGGCTCGCAACCGGTGACCAACCGAACGGCGCACTTCCGCCAGCCCGGCTCGCCTGCAGCGGTACTTCTTCGACAACCTGTTCGGCTCCTACGCCGCCTACTCGCTGCTGCACTACAGCAGCGACCAGTTCAGCCAGCCTCTCCGTCACGGCAGCGTCTTCTCCAGCTTCTCCAGCAGTGTCGTCCCGAGCTTCTTCCGGGGACGCAAATTCGGGAACCTCGGGTCAGTCTCCCGTCAAGGCTCAGAGGGCGGGGGCTGTATTCTTTAACATACCATGCCGCTGACTGTGAGAGGGGTGGCCTAATCGCAGCATGTCTTTTTACGACCGGCATCGGTCGTTCGGTCGTAAGACGTCGGACCCTTCGGTTACGACGCTGTTACCGAGTGCCGACCAATCCACTCGCCTACTTCTTGACCACCTCTGTGGTAAACTCAACTTCTTGCTATAAATTCAGCACAAGTGATTTGTCTGCTATCTGAATGGTGCCGCCTCCAGCCCCGATGGAGTTTCGCCCAGTCACTGCCCGCTGCTTCAGCCCGTCTCGTGCGTGCCCACAGTGACCTGTTCGGGGTGGCTCCGGACTACTTCAACGTGTGCCAGCGGAGCTTCAGGACTCTGCCTGGCCTACGCCTGGGCCCCAAGAGTTTCGGCGGCGGATCAGGGTCAGTGGTCCCAGCTCGTCTGCGCCGATCAGTTGTGCATTTCAGAAGAGCTGTCAGTTTACAGGAAGATTGCGTCACATTATGTTACGGGAAGCATTCCATTTTCCCTTCCGACGTCATGATGCGTGATGCATGCATAGCAACGTATCGAGAATAACTCGTGATGAGAACTGAGATGGCTGAATAACGTGCATGTTTTACACATTTGTCGTGTGGGCACGTCATTTATCATACGCTGAGCGTCCGGTTTGATGTGTTCCAGGATCGTTCATGTAGCCGGGGGGCACACCATCGGATACGGGTAAGCGATACAACTATGTATTTGTTTTGCCTCCTCGTCGCCTTTGTTCAGTGCCGCACTAAGGCACTTCACAGATATCGCTTGCATGTCGGATCATCGCACGACAAGCAGGGACATTAAAATTCAGAAACATTAAAGTTGAGATGTTCGTAGACGCAAATTTGTAAGTTCACCCGAAAGGAAAGCAAAATGTACTAATGCAATGCAAAAACAACAAAAACGCCGTAGATGAGCGCGACAAACAAGTACTCGTATTCATGCCACATAACTGGCCACCGCATGGTACTCTAATTGGGCCTCAGACCTCGCTATTATCAAAAGTAGTTGAGCCAAGCGCAGCCACATCTCGTGTGCTTCTTCAAATTGTATTATCTCTTTGGCTGATCTATGAGCCACGCTGGAGATGAAGCCTGTCAGGCCACAGACCAACACGCGTATAAAATTCATCATAGCATTATTCCGTCCTGATGCTTGTGCAGTGTGTGGCGTACACATATGTTTCTAGTCTATGGAGACATCAAGTCATAGCAGGGCTTCCAACCGTTGTTTAGAAGAAATCAGGGTCCCCGAAGATTTGACAATAATGATATTGGGCCCTAACGAAACTAAAACCTTGCCATTTTGTAGAAAAGTCTTCGAGCTTCAGGTTATGAAAAGAAACCAGCTGTTTTTTCTTTCGCGTTCCATGTTTTATTTTTGAGCTTACGTCACAAGCACCTGCAATTTGAGGATCTGTGTTTATGGACAACAATATAATATACGGATAGTTGCCCATCATTGCAAATATTAGCAATTACGAACATGAGTGATAAACAGTTGCCTTCGACAGGGTTCAGAGTGCTGGGTTAGCGAGTCATTTCCAGATGTGACGGAAGAGAGCGGGTTGGGTGCCGGTAGCGCAGTGGTTAACGCGTCCGCGCTATACACTGCGCGTCTGGGAAGCCACAGGTGCGGGGTTGGATTCCCGCGTTGTCCGCCCTCCTGCCAGGGTGAGCGGCAGGCGACGCCATAAAGCCTTAGCAGCTGGGTGCGTCGCGAAGCCTTAATAACAACGACGAGAGCGGGTCTGGTATCTAATCATATACAGCATGTATGCCAGAATATTGCAGGAATAAAGTATATCTTTCATTTTCATTTCAAAGGGCACACAAAGCCTCCTAAAGTAATTGTGTTTCATTTTCTTTGTTTGCGAGCCCATGGCATTGACAAATATCGATTTGTTGAACTCTGATGAGGGCCCCTCCATTCCGGCCGCGGTCGTCCTATCACTGCCACCTTTGGGCACGGCCAGAGCTTTGCCAAGGGGGAGGGGACACAGGGTTGGCAACCTGATAGTATAAGTCCCCCCCCCCTCCCAAGAAAAAAAATCGCTTGACTTGACGCATTTGTTGTTGAGGGAATGTTTATATACACGCATATATATATATATATATATATATATATATATATATATATATATGTGTGTGTGTGTGTGTGTGTGTGTGTGTGTATATATGTGTACATATATGTATTACACATTTTTGCCTTCCATAGCAGGAATATAAGACAGAAGCTACCGCGAGATCAATTCTGCCTTAAGTTTACAGTAAATGATTAGACAAAATCATGCGTTGAAAGGCTGCATGGAATAAATCGCTGGCGCTCTTTATTTTACAGTGGTCCAATTACTTCTTAAATGGATAGGACTCACAAATTTTGTCAGAATGGTTAACTGAGTTGTACAGATAGCAAGGATTCCGCGAATGTATATTGAAGATCGAAATGGGTCAAAAATTTGTGGTAACATGCCCAAGCCATTTTGTCTGGATATGTTCAACATTCGATCGGAATGTTAGGTGGTACAAATTATGTAAGGTAGTTTTGGGCAGGCGCGGTCGCATATCTTGGTAACAAAATGCTTAACGTCAGGCGTTGCAGTCTCCTCAGGTCGCGATGCGTCGGCCCCGCGGCTAATGCCGGGTTGTGATCAAAGGGTGGGCGAAAATGGTGACGAATCGTGACATAGAATAAAATTTCCGTTTTCCGTATAGCTGTAACCGCTAATCTGTACAGAGGGCAACCTCAAAGTCTTAAAAAGGACTTACCCTGGGAATCTATGGACTGCACCATTCAATTTTGAAAGACATTTAGGAACGTTATTTTACGACGGTCCTTGTTGCGCGCACTACGCCCGCCCCCTGGCGTTACATGCAGTGGCCAACGCCGTTCGGTTTCGCGAGAGCTGCAACCCAAGCCATCGCTTTCTTTGCTTCCCGAAAATTCGGGTGTGTCATCGGGGCTTTATGATGCACTCAGCTGCTGAGGCCATCGCCGGCCTCTCATCCTGGTAGGAAGGGCGGACACCGTGTGGAATCGAACCCGTACCTGTGGTTTCCCAGACGCGCAGTGGTTAATGCAGGCGCGTTTACCACGGCGCCCAGCGCGGAGGTTCAAACCTTTGGATGCTATTTGTTTCACTTGCCGATTCTGCAAAATAATGAACGTTCTCAGGGAAACGTGAAATGGCCTCGTGTGTATTGAACACATTTCGACCTATTCCGTTCGACACTAATGAGACCCTTTATTTTCGGTGTAGGGGCCCTCTTGAGTACAACGCTACGGGACACATTGTTGTTCCCGGTCAAGAGCTGCAGGGTCTTGCAGGGCAACGTTCCACCGCAGTGTGTTTTCCGGCCGTCATTCTGGCGACACGGGGCGACATCCCCTGGCCGATCCGGAAGCCCTTAGAGCGATACGTCATATTTCATTGGTCCGCTCCCTGACGCGGGAAGCCTTCTGACCTGTGCAGTTGACCCCGGATCGAGGCATGAACCGCCATTAACGCAACAACATCCCTGCTCGCCGCAGATGGCCGGATAATTGGCACGTAGACTCCAGTCGGGCTTAACGGGCCCATGCTGGAATAGGGTTGGAGGCCCACCGTTCGGTAGGGGCGGGGGGGGGGGGGGACTGACTGGCACTGAACTCTTCTGTTGCATCAATGCGAGCCCTCATGACAAGTCGTTATGTTTCCTTCAGTTGTGAGAGAGCCCCGACCACCGCAAGCGACTCTCCGTCATTCGGGCTCCTGTCCCCGTCCCTGTTGAGCAAAACTTGCCTGACCGAATGGAGGCCCCTTCTTGACGCAGAATGCCCTGTTAGGCACTATGGGCTCCTGAATGGTACAGGAACCCGATCAAGGTAACTCGCAGACCCGGCCTTGTCTCTGCTTGGAAAATGGGCCCCCACAGCTCGGCCCAACATGAAGTGGACTGTTCGTTGTTCGTGATATCTGGTCGAAGTAGAGGAGCGCCCTGTCTCAGTGGTTCGTATCGGGACAAGCGATCACCTTACTGACATTTAAGATCACGGCCCTATGGACGGAGGGGGGGGGGGGGTCCTTAAGGTGGCCTGCAGCCAGCCATTCCGACCCTTCAGCCATCCCAACAGGCCCTTGATGTTTGGTCTCGAGAGACCATTCGACCCGTCTTCGGGCCCCCTCAAACACCGCTCCGACTCGAGGCCACTTGCCGCCACACGATCCTTGTTCGGCACCGTGGTCCCTTACCGACCCAGGAACCCCTCATTGTGTCAGAAACCCCGAAAATTGCAAATTGCGGACCCCGGTCTCGTTTCTGCTTGGATAATGGGTCTCAGGGGCGCAGACGGACATGGAGCCGACTGATCGTTTTTTCGCAATCTCTGACCGATTTAGACCCGCAATGTCTCCGGGTTTCCTCGAACGGTGCAAGAGGACCTTCGTTTGCTATTTCAGACCACTACACTACAGGTCGCGATTCTTTATGTGATCTACAGCCAGTCCCTCGGGTCGCTATGCCCTCCAACTTTGATCAGTTTCGGTGGGCCGCCCGGGCCCCTCTTCGGGTCCCATCAAACACTGCCTTTGGTCGGCGTGGGGTCTCTTGCGAACACAGGACCCTCTGTTAGACACTATGGGTCCCTGACGGATACGGAGGAGCCGACCAGTGTAAGTCACTGGTCCAGGCCTCGTAGCTCACTGGGAAGTGGGGAAGTGGTCCCTCAGGCCAGTTCCGACACGAAGCCGGCTGTGCGGTACTGGTAGTGCCTGACCAACATATACGCCCATATCGACTCAGGGGGCTCCCGATCGGCTTAAGGGCCCTATGATCGCTACTTGAGGGTCCGTCTTCGCAGGTCGGGGCCCCTGTATGAGAATCCGACCAGCCCTTTATGCCTTTAGACCCTCTAATCGGGCCCTTGATCGTTGGACCCGTGGCCGCCTAGGCTCTTCGGGCCCCCTCAAACACTGCCTCTGGCCGACTCGGGGCCCCTTGACAACACAGGGCCCCTGTTAGACGCTGTGGGGCCCCGAGCAATATAAATCGCTGGCTCCGGCTCCGTCCCTGTTTGGGAAATAAAAAGGGCAACTCGATAGTGCCTGGCTTTTGAGTGGTGAAATCGAAATGCCAGCAGCCTTTGAAGAAACTGTTGTACCTTCGTTTCAATAATCCTACCCTACGCGGCGGTCACGAGTGCGACTCCGTAGAAAGGTGTCGTACTGCAATCGTGGGCGAACGAGTTTTTGGTGTGGGCAATGTTACATGCTACTTGGCAACATCTGGGGTAAAATGGTTGAGGATTTTGTTTTCTACCACTGATGAATGTGTTATTTTTATCCGGCAGATCCTTCAAAGGAGGCAGGTACTTATCGGGCGGGAAGTGAGTGAATTTCTTCTCGCATTTTCTACTATGCATTACATATTTGATTTCCGCAGTGTTTTCTCTTACTTTATGTTTTGTCTTATTCTCAGTTGAGTAGCTCGGCATTTCGAGGGTCTTGGAAGGATGAGCTAGAAAGTCGATCATTCTTCGTTGGTTCTCAGGCTCTGTGACGTATAATAGGACGACGAGGGATTAAGATTTGTTTAGGTTTACAAATGCTTCCACAGGCCAACGCTTCCTTTTTCGCTACGCTGGCACTGACATGCCAATGTTATTTCAGGGGATTCTTCCACTAGTGCCGGCCTCGCATAGCATCGGAAATACATGAGCAGCGGGAATGAAGATGGGGGACACACCGCGCGGCAAACTCAGTCCAGTTGACCAATGAATGAGTGACAATGGCGCTGCCGACTGGGCGCGTTGGGGGCGTGTTGATTGGTGGCTTCGGGGCGTGCCAGGGTGCCGGGCGCGGAAGAGCGAGTGCGTGGCTGCTGCTCCGGTCAGCTCTCAGCGGCCCGCCCGTCGGCTCCGCCCTCCCTGGCACCTCCATGTGCACGTCGCTTATTACGTTTAACACGAGTGCGGGGATAGCATATGTATATGTCTGATTCGGCGTGTAAATACAGGCAGTGCAAGGTGGAAGCGTTTTAGTGCAGTCGGCCCGTCTGGTATCGACACGACCTGTAAATCATCAGACTATCGGAGATCCTCGAGATCCGACACTCGTTTTCAAACCCTGTCACACTACACACGTGTTGCGAAACGCACTGACTTCGTAGAGGTGGATTGTTAGGCAGACTAGAGACCGCAACACCTGTATTCGTCGACGAACAGTCACATGAACAGCTACGATACGTACTCATGTGAGCCAGGCAGGTCAGCGCGAGCCGGAGGTACGGCTTTTTTGTTATGACTTCTACTGTCGCCGGGAATACAACTCTCCAAATGTCCTGATCGCTATTCGCCAGTTAGGTGTGGCGTAGCATGGTGTATGCCATGCCCGGGGGCGAAGACCTAGGCAGCTTTTTAACATGCGCCAATTCCAGCACGATATCTTTGTACTAAGCGCTGGCGGTCTCTGAGCTTTACTCGCTGAACTGAGGCCATGTAAACGAATGCTTTGGCAGAGCGGACCGCTGCGGAAGATGCGTTGCCCAGGAGCGCTCGCCTTCCTCAGTCAGCTTGTCTGGGCATGAGCTGTGGGAACGTCAGCGGACATGAGCGGAACGGTATCTTACGGGAACACAAATAGGAACCACGGAGGTAGGCAAGGCAAAACAGAACGTAAGGATAAGTCACTGCTCAGACGCACACCGTACAGGGACGGATGGCACGGATACAAATATCATGAAAACAGGAATGAAAGACGTGTGTGCAAGGACATGAGGACGACCAACATGGGAGCAGACACCAATCGCGGGAGCCGACAGAACGCGCACAACACGAGAGCAGGGAAAATGATAACATATGGGGGGTTAGCCAGAGCACAGGGCCCTCTGGGCAAACGGAAAGAACTCAATACCAGTATACATGGGTTAATGTCTTTGGGCGATCAAGAATCCCTTGACTGATGAATGTGCAGGGCCCTGGACAACAACTAAGGGTCCTTCGAGCGAGTGTGAGTTGTCTTATACCATTGTAGCGGGCCCCTGTGCCATTAAGAGAGCCCAGGCGGGTTAACGGGAAGGGCCCCGACAAGAGTGAGGAGTCTCCAACAAATGAAATCAAAGGGAAAGTGTCCTAGATCAATGCAGAGGGCCTCTGATCATCGATTGCCTCGGCGTGTTAACTTAACGGGCTCCAGCAACAGCGCAGGGTCTTCCGAGCGAGGTGAGAGAACGGGAGACAAATGTGAAGGCCCTCTGAGCAATTGAGAGTACCCCAGCAAGTTGGAGCGAATGTTCCTCATTTGAACATGTGGGGGCAAACATCAGATATGATGAAATAGGCTCACTTGTAGCTATCAAAATGCTTCAAAGTGCAAAAGACTGCTCTAGACAGCATAATGCAGCTACTTAGTAGCCATGCCCTCAAATACGTGAACATTTTATTGCGCCATTTAATCTTTGTAGGACGTCATAGTGGCTGCCAAACTGGCTGTGAGAAATTTCCAGTCTAAATTTCCATGGGCTGACTCACTTGAAGGACTTTAACTTGTCGAGAGGTGTCATGCTAATCGGTGCGTTGTTTGCAGAACCCAAACAGAGACAGATGGGGCCCCAACAAGAGCGTAATGCCATCCGAGCGAGTAGGAAGCACCCAAGATCGAATGCAGCGGACTCTCCAACGATCGAGTGTGCCCGAGCAATTGAACACAGGGGACCTCGACAAGAGCATAGGGGCCTCTAAGCAAATTAAAAGTACACAAGACACCATGTGGAGAGCCCCGAAAAATCGAGTTCGCCCGAACAGGTCATTAGATGGGGCCCGACAAGAGCGTGAGCCCCCAAAGCCCTAAAGTGGACGGCCCCCAAGCGATCGAGTGGGCCCGAGCAGATCAAGTTACCAAATGGGGCCCTGAGAGGAGTGTAGGGCCAACTAAGCAAATTAAAAGTACCCAAGGCAGTGCAAAGGGCTCGCGAACGCTCGAGCGCGCCTGAGCAGGTTAGCAGATGGGCCCCGACAAAGGCGTACGGCCCTCAATCTAAACACAAAGTACCCAAGATCGAGTGTGATGGGCCCTGAACGATCGAGTGTGCCCGAGATGGACCCACTTCAAGAGTGTAGGGCCCTCGAAGCAAATTAGAAGTGCCCAATACCTGTGTCTTGTGTCAAAACCTTTAGAGGGTACCCAAACGATCGAGTGTGCCCAGGCAGGTTAACAGATGGGGTACCCACCGCAGCAAGGGGCAAGGTTTCCGCAAGTGACGGGAAATTGCCCTAGTTGCCCTAAAAAGACCCTAGTAAGACTCCTTGACAGAAAAATATAGAAGGCCCATGAACATATCGTGAGTGTTTCGGTAGGCTAACCGAGGCCAGCATGAGGGGCCCCTGAGCAACCACGAGCGCCCCGGCAGGTTGACACTGGGACACCCGGCAATAGCGTATAGAGCCTTTCTGGCGGGTGAGGAGAATCCATGGGGGCTCCTGATCGATAAGAGTATCCTAACATATCAACATAGAGAGGCCCTGCAACAGTGTGCCCCCCCCCCCTCCCCTCCTCCTCCCCGAGCAAATGCAAAGAATTCGAGGGCAACGTGGATAATTTCATAGCGATCGGATTGGCCCTGCAAGTGGACATATAGGGCCCCCAGCATAGAGTAGAAGCTCGGTACAGCGTAATGAACCTTAAAATCTCTCCAATTATCACTTTCACAATTGGCCAATAATCAGTTTTGTCTGATTGTGGGCCTTTCACTTTTGCTTGTGACTGTTCGTGGCTACCTGGACGCCCAAATACGTCCAATTTTATTATCTTTTGTGTCCAAAAATATGGGTCTATTCGGCTAGTTATGGGCACCTTCAGAGTCATTTTATGGGCCCCTTCGGGACCCAAGAGGGAGGACATGACCCGTGCCCCCACCACCACCACTCTGGATCCACCACTGCCGCAGCTTCGCGCAGCCAAGGCCGAAGCCGGTTTTAACCCATGCCTGACTTGTAGTCATCTCAGCGCAAGGACCTTGACAAGCAAGAACCCTCAGGCTCAAAACCTGAATATATTGGATCCGCATATAGAAGCAAGGCATTAGCCATCTCCGTCCGTAGCTCGGCGCTGAGAAAGCTGAATTTCGAACATCGCTTTAAGCCTTGATATCGGCAGTAAGACTACAGGTTTTCCCAGAAGGATTCCGTAACGAGCAAAGTGTTTAGCTTGATTTAGAGTTGTACGAGAATCCGGAGAAGCACCTGTAACACCGGCACCGGCTTCAGACGTTTTCTTCGTACCAGAGTTGAAGTAAGGCAAAGCTCACTATCAAAAGTCACAGACAATGCCTCAACCTTCCAAAGATTCTTTTTCATATTCAGGCTGTAAAAAACTACGTTTCCGCACTAAGCCCATTCCCGGTTTCACTCATGACACAGTGGCACGAAATTCAAGTCGTGGCTGAGCAATCTTTATTTACTGGAAACAACCGCTTGACCAGAGATCAAACTGGACACAGGATAGTTAGTTCTCTGTGGAAAATTCTTGCAACTTTTTTTCGTGTGGTGTTTGAAAATTGTTAGTTTTATCGATATGAAATCTATGGGTGATTTGTAAAACCTGAGCGAGTTGTAGAGAACGCAAATGAATCAGTTGATTACGTTTGTTATTACTTGTAAGCCGTGGGGTGCCCGTGGCCCCGTGGTGTAACGGTTAGCACTCAGGACTCTGAATCCTGCGATCCGAGTTCAAATCTCGGCGGGACCTGACGTTTTCACTTGGGTTTTCCCGACTGCTATTGCAATGTTCTGCGTGTCCACAGGATATTGAACATATTCCATATCAAAGACTTGTGCGTTCTTCGAGATGTCTTCACAAGAGAGTACGGGCGCACGGATTCAAACTTTCAAATGATTCAGCGTTACCTAGGTATCCTGGCAGTGGTGTATGCCGGATAAGCTACACACCAATCCATAGCTTCTTTGAGATTAAGGGGTCGAGAGGATATCGGGAGAAAGGGTATTATGAACGATCGCCATATGAAACTTAACCTAACTTTATCATTTTTTATTGCCACAAGTGTTTAGACAGCTGGACCCAATGGAAATCGTTTTTATAGCACATAGGAAGGAAATTCTGAGCTTTTGAGGTAGCTTCAATTCCGCATGTGGCATGCATACAATGCTTGCAAGTGACAAGATCGTTAAAATTTACATTAAACTTGATAAAGCCATGTGCTCGTTTTGCAAGGACACATGAGGCAACCTAACATTGGATGCTTAATTGTCGAGTTGGCAAGGCGTTTTGGGGCTCGTGTGGAGTGCTTTCAAAACAGGCAATGGGGAATGTTGTATGATGGAACTTACACCTGTCTTGAATAGCTTGGAATTACCACCGGTCAGCAATGTAAATCTCCCATCGGCGGGCATCACCTTTTTGCTCAAATCATCCCTTAATACCGCAGACGTAAGGGCGGCCTGCCTGCGCAGTAATGCCCATAATGCGGCGGCCCGGGAAAAATGCTTATCATCAGACTGGAAGATCATGCGGTTGTGTGCAGTCGATAGCCCTGGTATATGACTGTTAGCTTGCCGTGCAACACGCTTGTTGCATGTTGGATTTTATTTCTTTTACCCGACACCCGTTAGCGTATTACTCAATGCTGGTGAGACGACTGGACCGGTGATTTACACAGACACGGCGTTCATTGGAAATACTTTTACTTCTGCGCTGAAGCTGCAAACTTGAGGTGGCGATGTCATTGTGTGAGTGCTATCGGACAGCCACGTAAGTCCCGTATCTGTAGACATGATCTCCTTTGTTAAAAAATCCGTTAACAGTGCAGACCTAACAGCGGCTGGTCAGCAAGTCCGTGTACGGCGCCCCGAGAGAAATGCTTAGAATCGAACTCGAAGTATGCGACTGTGTGCATCCGATAGCTCTGGTACAAGGCCGTCAGCTGCCAGCACATCACACTCGTCAGAACTTCTTTTCAATTGTATTCCGTCGACCCTAACAGCGTATCACTCAGTG